TCCTGATGCATGCTCAATAATCCAGGACCAATCCAAGATCTGCAGGAGTTTGAAACGTCCTGACAGCAGGAGTGAAGCTGCAGGGACAGTCTGCAGCCAGCAGGGGGCAGCGCAGCTTCAGCTGTGCCTCCTCTGATGTTGCTCCTGCTGTTGTTCTGGTGGAAACTCTGGATGTTCTGGACTCACCTTCACTCACAGGAAGTCATGAACTTCATGAAGATGTTTATTTCCATGTTCTCTGAAGGAGCCGATCCATTTCAGGGATCCAAACGACCAAAACAGAACCACAAAGTTCAGTCAGGTCCTCTGGACGGATTAAAATTAAACTTGTTGAAACGTTTGGTCCCGGTGGTTCTGACCCGGGACAGAACGTGTCAGCTCTACATATCCAGGAGGCGATGGAGCTCCTCACCTCATGTCTGCAGCTGGAACCGGACTGGGCTGGACCGATGGAGACGAGGAAACGTTCAGCTGGACTCCAACACGCTCCACGTGCTCGAGAGCATGCACGTTCTGTCTGCCGGGTCCAGATGACCCGAGGAACAGAACCCCTGCAGACTGAAAACTCTCCAGCTTCTCCACAGGAACCAGAACCAGAGCCGGTCTCAGTCTGCAGAACCTCACGTCATGCGAGCCCGAACCACCAGCTGCAGTGCATTCTGGGTAAACACCTGTCCTGGTTCTTATTAAGTCTGCTCCTTATTTATCTAATAAACAATTTAAACAAACATTTACTGTCAGTAACAAAAACAAATAAATAACTCGCTTAATTTTTCAATTAACAAACATTTTCAATGAATTACATTCATGTATATTTTTTTAACAATTTGATTTTTACCAGTGTCTTAAATACCAAGATTGATTTGGCTTCCTTAACATCTGTCTCTAAGTCATTCCATAAACCAACACCCTGAATTAAGGTCGATCTTCCCTTTAAACTAGTTCTGAACTGCGGTTTTACAAAAACATCTTTCCCCTTAAGATTGTAACAGCTGGATCTTTTCACAAGATACATTTGAATATTAGAAGGTAGTGTATTTGTATGAGCTCTATACATAAGTGACAAGATGTTGTAATCCACCAAATCATAGAATTTCAACAGTTTCATTTGATTAAATAAAATACTTGATGGATGATAATAATGTTTTCTTGTGATAATTCTTACAACTCTTTTCTGCAATATAAAAATAGGCTTTGTAATTGATTTACACGCTTTTCCCCAAACATTAACACAATAAACCAAGTGTGGAACAACAATTGTATTATACAACAAAAACAATGCTTTATCATTTAGTAGATACCTAACTCTATAAAAAATTGCAATAGATTTGGATATTTTCGTTTTAACAGAATTTATATGTTGTTTCCACGACAGTTTATCGTCAATGATGACACCCAAGAATTTCACCTCATTAACTCTACAAATCATTGAATCTTCAATTTGAAATGGAACATCAATAGTTTTATTTCTATTACTAAATATCATGTAATTTGTTTTATCCAAATTTAAAGATAATTTGTTTAGTCTAAACCATTTCTGAATTTTAACAAACTCCGTCATCATTGACTCCAACAACTGTTCAATATTTTTACCAGAACAAAAAAATGTTGTGTCATCAGCAAAAAGAACGCATTTAAGGAGGCCAGACACCTTGACCAAATCATTTACATACAAAATGAACAACTTTGGGCCAAGTACGGATCCTTGAGGAACTCCACAAGTAATAGTACAGTGATCCGATTTCACATCATTCATCTGTACAAACTGTCTCCTGTTTTTCAAGTAACTACACACCCATTGTAAAGCTAAACCTCTGATCCCATATTTGTATAATTTATCAAAAAGAATATTGTGGTCAACAGTATCAAATGCCTTTTTCAAGTCAACAAACACACTTGCACAGTATTGTTTACGGTCAACCGCAGTAGTTACTTGTTCCATAAAGTCCATAAGCGCCATAGATGTTGAATTTTTTGTTCTAAAACCATATTGATTATTAGTTAGAATATTTTGTTTTTCAATAAATTGGTCCAGTCTGTTACTGAATAGTTTCTCCAAGATTTTAGAAAACTGTGGTAACAAGGATATCGGTCTGTAGTTATCAAACACACATTTGTCACCATTTTTAAAAAGAGGAAATACCTTAGCCACCTTCATTCTGTCTGGAAATACTCCCGTTGTAAAGGACAAATTACATATATGTGTAAATGGTTCAATTACATGACCCATTGTGTACTTTACGAATGTCATGTCCATATCCATCCAATCCTTAGAGTTTTTGTTTACAAATTTATTGACTACATTCATTATTTCATCTTTATCAGTTCCCTTCAGGAACATACTGTCCAGATAATCATCAATTAAATAGTTCCCATAATTATTCATCTTTGGTATCGTTGCTGCAAGACTAGTTCCAACATTCACAAAGTATTGATTAAATCCATTAACAATTACATTTTCATCGAATATTGTCTCATTATTTATTGTACAGTTCTGTGAAATGCCTGTTTTTCCTATATTTTTTTGTAGAACACTATTCACGACCCGCCATGTTGCCCTCGTATCCCCATTACTTTTATTCAATAAGTCACTATAATATTCTTTCTTATGTTTTCTTATAATCCCAACTAATTTGTTTTTATATTTCTTATATTTATCTTCTGCATCTTGTGTTCTGCATTTCAAGAAACATAAATACAAACAGTTTTTCTTCCTACAAGCATTTCTCAGTCCATTTGTCATCCACTGCTGGTCAACAACATTCTTCTTGGTGTAATTATTTAGTACACAATTTTTTTATATAAAGCATCCAAGATATTCATAAACACATCATAAGATTTGTTTACATCATCAACATAGACACTATCCCAGTTTTGTACAGCTAAATCATTTTTCAAATTTTCCAAAGCTTGCTTGGATGTATTTATTTTTTCTTTTTTAGGAAATGTTTTTGTGCTTATTTGATACTTACTATAAATTGTAAAAACCGGTAAATGATCACTAAGATCATTCATCAAAATACCCCCAATCACATCCCCATTTGTTGTATTTGTAAAAATATTATCAATTATTGTTGCACTATGAGTCGTGATTCTTGTTGGCTTCGAGATTAATGGGTAAAGATTTAAAGTTTGCATTGACCTTTGACCTGCTGAGGCCTGTAGCATCACTGCACGGTCTGACCTTCAGGGTGAGTCTGCTCTCTGACAGGTTCTCCTCGTGTGGGACGATGGACTCTGAATGACCTTTGACCTTCAGACAGACAGCTGAGCCTCCAGCAGCTCCTGGACCTGTGAGGTCCTGTGGAGCAGCAGGACCAGTAGCAGTCTTTGTTGAGTCGGTGTGCAGGGTTCAAGCTGAAGGAGGTTTTCTGTTGGAGACTGGTCTCCCTTCTCCCTGCCGGTCCAGCTCGGAGCTTCGTGGTCTGTGGTTCAGGAACATTTGACGAGTCT